GGGGGGGGGGGGGGGGGAGGGCGGCTTCGGTTTTCCTCCGTAAATTAGGCACAATTTGTAACCCAGTGTTTGTATTTTCTTAGTTTTCATGTATTACTCGAAGCCTAGTTGTGTTGAGGGACAGGCCACTGTTTGTTTTGTGTGAGTTGAGAATGCGGTGTACATGCCCCGCCTAGCTTGTCACACCCGAGGAGGGGGGATTAGGAAGATGTGGTTGATTCGTGTGCAGATGGACTGCGACAGACAGCAATGGGCATGGTGGTGATATCTTTCAAGGGGTTTCAACATCCAAGAAGCGCCATCACATGCAAAAATGTGAAGCTGGTACCTCGTGTTAACATGGAGACACATGACGGGCTGCTATTCTTGTGCTGTGGTTGCTGGACGTGAAAAAGGAAAGGCGTTGATAATACACGGCGAGAGTATTTGGTACGACAGGCTCGGAGAAAATGTTGTCGGGAGGAGAGCGATGTCTGTCGATCGGTTTTAGGTAGTGTTTCCTACATTGTCCCAAGTGAAGCCGAAGATATTTTACTTAGACCCAAAAACCGAGGGAGAAATGTATTTCCAGTAGTGTTCTCACTGACCAGAAGAGGTTATAATAGCTCCTACCGCAATTTTGTACGCGTTACTACGCCGGGCATCTTTCCTTTTTTAGGTCAAAACTGCCAAGACTTCATACTTTGTGCGTTTCATGCGAACGCCATCTCATCTTTTGGAGTGGTTACGCGAGGAAGACAAGCAAGGCGTGAGTTTCCTTCCCTTGGTATACATTTGCTTTCGGGTTCATGTTTCCTGTTAGTCTCGAAAGGCCCCCTTGGTTGTACGCACAGGGTCCTCCTTACCGTTGCTTGCTGCTGTTCTGTTGCTGCTGCAAGCCACGAAGAGGGGGGGGAGGGGACCTCGCGATGGGCAAGAGGGATTCCAAGCCATCACCGCAGACTAGGTCCGCGTGAATCGTTCGTGTTGCTCGATATGACACCAAAACGACAGGAACCATGTTGTTGTGCTCTTCTTGGGAACGGAGCGCCGACCTCGCGGCCCGCCCAATCTCTTGCAAGATAGATATGAGTCGGCTCCTAGCCCATCCGTCTCTTGGTGAGTCAGTCATTCTTGTCGTATGGGCGCGCAGGGGATTGTCGGCGCTGGGGTGCGTGACTTCGCGGCGGACACGTGGGAGTACGATCGCAAGGTAGGGTCTCGCTGATAAGGTATACATTCCCATCACGCCTGGCACTAGGACGAGGTCGTCGAAACCGGCGGTGTCGTCGTTTCGGAGCGGTTTTTTTGTTTTGTGTACGCGCGGTGTCGTAAGTCATGTGCGTTTACAACCGCTTGCCGTGTGTGCGCCAGCAGCGCGTAGTAGAACGCTTTAGGAAGTTTTTGTCAGCCTCTCGTTGTCTCTTATCTTTCTCTCGGAGGCGAAGAAGGCGTTCTGCGTTTGCTACACACGAATGCCCCTTCCTGGCAAGCAGTGTCGATGAGTTCTTGTCGGTTCGGACGAGGGGAAGAGAGATTGTGCCACAGAGAGCAGTAGACCCGTGCCCTTTCGTCATTTTCAATAGAGGGAGATGGTCGGCTTTACAAGTAGCTTTTTTTATGGATTTGTGGATGAGACATTTTGGGCCACGTATAGTCTTGTGTCTAGTCTCGGAGCAACGCGTAGATAGGCGCCTAAAACATGCTTCCGCTCTGGGCCACAAAGGAGACGAACAACATTATTTTTTTACAGCCTCGCATACGTTGCAGCGCCTCATATTTCCCAGAAGTCGTTCAGGTCACGGTCGGCACATGCTAATACCCTTGGAACGAAATACTGGATGTATCTACCTTCTTTTCTTTAACTGAAGGAGTAAATGCTAACAGAAAGACGCCGTCTCGCGCTGTTGTGTGTTGTTTGGACGGTCGTCGTCCTTCCTACAGGACATATTTGGCCCTGGCCGCCGGTTGTCAGATTGAAAAAATCCCGGACACGTGTTTATGCATAACTGCGGGAAAACAAAAAATTCCATCTTTTCGCTGAGTGAGGCCGCCGACCACGCGGCGACCGACCTCTGCGACGCCTAAGACGGCGGCTACACTTGAAATAAGCTCGGTGTTGGCGGTCGAAACCGAACAGACGAATGGTCGTTTAGTCCCGGGTTTGCAAAGAAGAAGGCGCCACAAAGGTAAGCATCCGGCGGGTTACGGCCCTTCTACATACCTGTACAACCTCTGCCTCACCGCCCCTCCCTGTCGTCTACATCGTCACATGTGATGGTAGCACCACGAGCAGCACCAGCGACCCTACCACCGCCCCTGAAGCTTACAGCACGCAGCAAACCCGCGCTTCCCCTCTCTCTGACAGCTTCACGACTGCCGTGTGCTCGCCCCCAATCAACGCCGCTAGGTAAGAAGAGAACGCTTGCTTGCTCTACTGTTATACTTTAATGAATGGTAACACCGGAGTTGAAAAAATGTAGACTGTGTGTAGTCGCAAAAGGGCTAGCATATGCCCTGATCTGGAGTGACAAGGCCGACATAACGTCCGGCCGTCGTAAGAATGTAAAAACGGCATGCAGAGGAACGTTCGTTCGTGGGCGGTCGGGGTTAGGACCGTACTTACTACGCGCTGCTGCGTGGTGACGAGTGATGTGCTGTACCAGGATCTCTGCGCGCAACCCATACCAGGTAAGTAAGCAGCAAGGATACCGCCGCGCAACAGAACCGGATAGTTTTACCAAACACGCCCTGGGTAGTTTACTCCGGTACTGGTTGTTTCTCTCGCTCTCTCGCTCCACTCAGCCTCGTGGGGAAAGCAATCGAGACGTCGAGCCGTCGAGACTGTGAAGAAATTATTGGAGCGTAATCTCGCCGCGTGAGTTCACGCCTCCTTTCATATTCATTCGAACTTCCCATGCGTTCCCCCCCCCATCCCCCTAAGCAACCCAAGGCTTGTTTACAAGAGGTGTTTGGTGGCATCGTCGCTTCGGGCATTACTGACTAACGCTGTGTCAACATCCTCTCCTCGCTCCCCAAGGTGAAGTTAATACGCATGAAGATTCCCATTGGGTGTTGTGAAAGGAGTGTCAAGGATAGGCAGGACTGCTGGGAAGTACGAAGCCGCGATATTTATCATCAATCTCGTGCTGTTGCTTTGGCAGCAGTCAGTCGTGTATCTCGCCGCACCGCAGGGGATTGCTCTACCCAGTAAGCGAAGACCATATGGCAGCTTGCGTTCCTGGTAAGGCGTCTACCTTTCTATCCCGATTCGTTGGGATCAGTTGATATCGTGAGGGCGCCCCCTAGCGCACGGCACGTTCCGGCGTCTTGCGCATCCTGTTCGTTGTACTACTGCTGTACTTGGAAACACCGCATGACACCCAAGACCAGACAGCCAACTGCTCTGCCCTCAGCAGATAATAATAAAGTAGATGACATGTGCCTTCCTTTGAAAGATTGTGGCTGTGCAGCACTTTCATCGGTAGATGCTCATCCCGTGTCGCATAGTTTCCTTGGCAAACGCCACGCGGGCTCTCGGGCACGCATGCACAGGTCTTCTCTAAGTGCGGATCAATTTCACGCGGAGCGCGCTCGCAGGAAACAGGCGTTCGTGGTGTCTCTGCTTCGCATCGTAATTGCATGTACTACGAGCACGTGCCTGATAGTCACCGGCACCTCTTTTGTAGGCAAGGAGGATTCATACTCAAGGTTGATGTACTCCTGTAGGTGAGGTGGTCCGCCTGCTCCGTCGGGTGTCGATGTGGATGGACTGCTGCTGCACGTCCAGAGCTAACGTCCCGTACGTATCCTGTCGGACCTTTGTGCCCCGCTCCCGCCCTCAGCAGAGAACACGCCGGTACAAGATTCGCTTGAAGCCTTTCCAGTCTTGTTGTTGAAGGAGTGCCGCAGACAGCACCATCGGAAATAGCGGTGTAGTAGCACGGTAGCCGCAGCAGCAGCAGCAGCAGAAGCAGCGGCACCAACACGAAGCGAGCGATGATGTCAAGCTTGATGGGTCGGAGGAGGGGCAAGGCTCCTACACGAGACAGGGGAGGCGACAGAAACACAGCGGTGCGTGCGTCCATGCCCTCACCGCTTTCTCGTGTTCAACTGCAACTTCTTTCCACAACAGACACATGCTTATAGAAATATCGGGGTAGGGGGGTGGGGGGCTTTTCTGCCCCAAGGGCAATCAGGTTCGCAGGAGAAAATCGGTGCGGCCTGGCTCTTCAATCGATCTGTCTCGTCCCGCTTGATACTGTAACACGTTTGCTTTTCTATCCGTTTGTTTTTGCTTGTGATCGTACGAATGATACCTCTTGTCGTAGAAGCCCAATCAAATGAGCAGACAGTCCTCTTACTGCGACAACCACAGTAGGTCTAGGCTCTGCGTGCAGTAACAGCCGACCAGTACCCTGAGAACGCTCATCAGAGACTAAGTAGCTCTGTTTGATCGGGCTACACGCTCACATGGCACCGACCCTTCCCATGCACCTCGCCGGATACATACTTGTACGACGTTTGTGTTTCATCGGCACGATCGTTCTCTCGACTGAAACGCACGCGCAGCGGAGCAGCGGGCGGGCACTGGAGGGTTTGGACTTCATCGAAGGCCTCGCGGGCCCGGGACCCGGGGGCGAGAAGTTCGTTGCCCACAAAGAGTGGACGAAAGAACCATTCGCCGATGACTTCGACGACGAAGACCTGGAGTAATGTGGGGGCCACTCGTGACAGGTTGATGACGGCACACAACAGCAGCAACGACCACAACAACTTTTGATTTTTGGGTGGGAGTACGGTGGTCCGGCCGGGGAAACAAGCGGCTAGGAAGCCAAAAGTTTTTCGTGTGGTGGCAACGATTGGAAACGAACGCGTTGTTTTGCGCGGGTAGCCTCTGTTGTCGCAAACGACAGCTTGCTGGGCGAGAGGGTGCAGTCCCTTACAACATGCATGCAGGAGATAGAGGCAAGGGTAGGGTTGGACGTGTTTAGACGGTGGGTATGGACGTCTACGACCGAATCGTTTGTGTTCAGCGAACGCTCAAGAGTATGGAAAGAACGAACGCACGCACTGGATGACGTGAATCAACCTTCAGCGTCGACACGTGTGGCGCTCGGGGATATTGAGATGACGCAGATACAAAGCCCATCTTCGTCCAGGCGGTTCAGGGTTGAAAAAAAAAGCAAAAAAAAAGGCGAGAATTGTCAAAAGTGCCCCCTTCCAACACCTGCGGTTGACATACTCGAAGTGGATGCCGTCGGGAACTGGTACGATAGTTGTCGCGGCTAAAGGTGACCGTGATCCCCCTCCTCGTGCTTGAGCAGGAAACCAAGCCTAATTGCGCTGGGGGAAGGCAAGGTCACCGTGATCCCTCTCCTCGTACTTGAGCAGAAACCAGGCTTAATTGCTCTGGGGGAACTCTGTTTGAGAAGAACCAGAGTTCACCCTGCTCGCGGGCGTGTGTTCACCTTCAAATTGCAGCGCTCTCCTTGTCGGCTTGCGCCTCATCCAAGCAACCTTTTTGAACAGAGATAAATTCTCGGGGCACGAACTTCAAGCTATGTTACTTTTTTATCTTCTTTCGCACCAGTTGTGTCCATCCATTTGTTCCTTGCGTGCGCAACCTCGCGTCGCCCCGCACGAATACTACTCCGGGTAGGAAAGGAGGCACGCAGTCTTCTGATTGATAACAATACCGTGGGCGCACTTTTTCCTTCTCTCTTTCGTAGTAGCCGTTCTAAACCATCCAGCGCACTCATAGGCACCCGTAGAGGGGCAACCGCACCACGTTGCCACACTCCGAACTTGACTGCCGGACGAGCGGCACAGGGGCGGGCCAACGACTGACGCATTCAATACAGGCGGGCGCAACGAAAACCGGCATGCTCGCGCGACGCCACTTGCGCCTGCCCCCAGCCCAAACACGGACAACAGCAAGAATACCGGAATGAGGCGCCAAAACGAAGGTGCCGCACACAGAGCAACCCTGACACGGTAATACTCGTCATCGAAGGACTTCTCCCCCCCCCCCCCCCCCCCCCCCCCCATTAAAAGGCCTCCTTTTGTAGGCCCCCTTTTAACCCTTTCCAGCGGGGGACACATGGACAAAAAGGCCCCCGGGTCCCTTTATAAAAATTGCAAACGCGGAAACATCCCGGGAATCCAAACCCCAAAAACCTCCCCCCAATTCGTGAATTGGCAGAATAAAACGAGAGCTAATTCATACACTGGGGGGGCCACTTGGTGCTGACTTGGTTGCCCAACTAAAAAAAAAGTCCTCCGGGGGGAAAAAACGCATTTTCCAAAGGCCACGCCCCAGCCCCCTCAAGGGATCCTGGACTGGTCGGGAAAAGTTTAACCCCCCGCACCCCCCTCTTTTTTAACCAAAAGCAAAACAATCGCCGGAGCCCCCCCCCCCCCCCCCCCTCCCGAAAAAAATTCCAAAAA